TCTTTCCCTGTGGAATTGCCTTGGCCCTTTTGTTGAAAATTAAAGGTAAGAGTTTATTTCTGGCCTCTCAGTTCTATAATATATATGCATATGTCTATGCCAGTACCACACTGTCTTGATTACTGAAGCTTTGTAGAAACTTTTGAAATGGAACGGCTTGAGTCCACCAACTTTGTTCTAATAATTTTTTCCAAGATTGTTTTAGCTGTGAAATATGAATGTTAACAATTATGTATGCAGTGATTTCTTTACATTCTTGGGAAAAATTTTAATTTATTGTAATGTGAATGAGCCGTTGCAATGTGATAAGCCAGCAGTTCTCAAAGTATGGTCTGTGGACTCCTAGGGGGTCCTGAGACAAGTCGTGAGGTCAAAACTATTTTCATAACAACACCAAGATATTGCTTTCCCCCGCCAAACCCCACCGTGTGTCGACATTTACACCGATTGTACAAAGGCAATGAAGGGTAAAACTTTGGGTGCCTTAGTGGGAATCAGAGCAGTAACACCAAACTGTGCTAGTAGTCATCGTATTCTTCATTGTCAGGCACTTTCAAAAGAAAAAACTGGAACAAAACACAGTTTTATGCAAGAATGTCATTGACGAAGCAGTAAAAGCAGTCAAATAATTTAAATTTAATAATCTTGATCACGTTGTAAATGTCTTTTTAATATTCACTGTGGTATGGAAAGTATGCAAAGCATGCATAAGGCACTTCGGCTGTACAAGGGCTGTCTTGAGGAAAAGCACTAGAGCAATTGAGTTGTGAACTGATCTGTCTCTTTTCTTGGAATACTGTTTTTACTTGAAAGAATGCTGATGAGGAATGATTACTCGGACATGGACATTTGGTGGACATTTTCTCAAATGTGAAGGAAATGAACCCGATACCTTAAATAAGTTAACTGATAATTTTTGTTGCTAATGATACAATTAGAGCTTTCAAGAGAAAGAATTTTGGGGAAACGTGTCTGCTGTCACAAGCTTGATCTCTTTCCAACACTTAAAGATTTTCCTGATGAGATGGTGGTAGTATTAACAAATATGACTTTTAAATATCGTGTAGTGAAATGTGTCAACATTTGGAAAATCTGCATAATTCAGTGAATTGAGAGTTTCCGAAAGGGCAATGTGTGCTGTTACACGCATTTGGTTTTGAATTTGCTGTGCTCTTTCCAAGGCACCGGAGTAGTGAATCAGCTATTGAGAAAAATGGCTGGAATCATATTAATTAATTGATTAATTACACAGACATTTATTGAATGCCTATTAGATGCCTGGTGTAATGCTAGATGCCAAGGATAAGAAGCAAAGGGTATCATTTGCTACTCTGGTAGTCATCTATTTCTTGACATAGCGGTAGTTAAGGAGGTGTGTTCACTGTGATAATTCATGGAAAAATAAAATGTGTACAAGGGGGAGGGAAACTGCCTGCTTAAGGCATAGACTTTCAGAGCTGGTAGAGTTATGGGGGTTTATAATTTATTCATTCATTTTGTAAAAATATTTATTAAACACCTAGATACTGGGAATACATCAGTGAGCAAAACGGACAAAAATCTCTGCCCTTATGGAACTTACATTCTAGTGGGAGGAGACAGAATTAAGTAATAATTATCAATATGATAAATAAGATATATAATATATTAGAAAATGATATAAAAAAGTTGACGGTTAGAGGTAGAGAGTGTGAATTGGGCATGCATGCATTGTGAGAAGGTGGCACTTTAGCAAAGACTTGAAGGAGGGTGAGGGTGTTAGCCATGAAGATATCTGGAAAAGGGCTGGAAGACTAGCGTAGTTCGAGAGAAGTGAGTGAGGGAAGCACAGAAGGAAATGAGTTTAGAAAAATAGTGGGGGACAAAACTGTGAGGGCCTGTGGGTCACTGTATGGACTCTGCCCCTTACCTTAAGTGAGATAAAGAGTCATGTAGGTCATGAGAGGGGGAGTGACATGATCTGATGTGCTTTAATGGGATCACTTTGGTGACTGTGGGGAACAGACTGAACAGGAACCAGGATGGAAGTCGGAAGATTAGGAGGAAATTGCAGTGATTCAGGCTGGAGAGGATGGTGGCTTGGATCTGTGGGGCAGTGGGAGGTGGGTGAATTCTGATCTGTTTTGAAATTAAGACAGGTAGAAATCTCTTGCAGATTTGGTGTGCAGTATCCAAGAGAGGAGTCAAAGAAGACTCCAGAATTTTTGATCTGAGCTACTGGGAAGGTGGAGTTGCCATGAAATAAAATGGGGACGTCTGGAGCTGAAGCAGGTGTGGAGGGGAAGATGGAGAGGATGGGTTGTGTCTGAGACGTCTGCTAGACATGTGAACAGAGCTATAGAGTAAGGTGGCTGGATTAGGGAGATGCCTGAGCTACAAACATGGATTGGGAATTATCAGCATGTAGATGGCACACTGTCTATAGAGTCAGAGAGCCTAGCCCCCACTGAGAAAGGAGTGAGTGTGGATGGAGAAGAATTTCCCAGGACCTATCAGAGGGTCACCCTATCTTGAAAGTGGAGGAGAAGAGGAGCGACCAGCAATGGCCACTGAGGAGGAGAGACCTGTGAGGTGGGAGTGAGGCCAGGAGACTGTGGTGTCTTGGAAACCAGCGAAGTCAGTGCCACCAAGAGGAGGAGAGTCCACTGGTGCCACATGCTGCTGAGAAGGTAAGTGAAAAGGGACGAGAATGGACCATCGGATTTCACAAGGCTAACAAGGTAACAAGGTGGAGGTCTTTGCAAGAGTCATTTCTTAGAGTGTGCGGCAAAAACCATATTAGAGTTGAAGAGAACAGGAGAGAAATTTGAGTGAAGACATCTCATTGGAGGAATTCTGATGTAAAGAAAAGCAGAGAAATGGGGAAATGCCTGGAGAGAGAAATCTTTTTCTTTTTTAGATGAGAAGAAAAATGCATGTTTGTGTGTTTTGTCATTTACAAGTGTGTGGGATTGTACCTTGCGTACAAATGGTAGCCTGTCTGAAAAGAAATCATTAATGAAAGCTTCCACTCTACATGATTAGCTGAGACTGAATCACAACACTTATTATCTACCCATGGCAAAAGATGTCTCTTGAGAAAAAGTTCTTTGATTCAGTGACCATTTGCTTTATTCAGAACTTGAAGATGGTTACTTTTGTGTTTCCTGTTAAAAGAAAGTCAATCCAGGAAAGGCCAGCATATCCTTTACTCTTCCAAACAGAGTTCCAAAATGTCTATGGCCCTTAGAATTTAGAGTTCAGTGTTCTATTCATGTAGGAGTGTGGGGAGAGATGAAGGGGGATTTATACTTCTCACCATATACTTCTATATATTTTAATTTTTTACAAAAAATTCAATAATAAACATAATGAGAAAGATCTAGTGTGTATTTTAGATATTTGGAAAATTTGAAGTTTGAGGCTAGGAATAGTTCAGGACAATTGCATCATTTATTAATTATAAGTGGACTAAAGTATCATATGCCAGCAGGCCTCAGTTCAGCCAGCATGTTGATGTGCATTTTGCCTTAGCTAGCCGATTTATACATCCAAGCCCTGAACTTAGTTCTGTTATTATTAATAAATTGTGATACATAACAAAGAAAAATGGCTCCTTTTACCAGCTACCATTTATGTCTCATCTTTTTCTCTGGAAGAGCAGAATTATAAAAAACTCACTCTCTAACACGTCTGACTGATTTATCCAATTTAATTCATCAAACATTACTTGAGGGCCCACCATGTGCCAGGCAGTGTGCCCAGCACTGTAAATACTGAGGGAACAAGGGCATGATTGCTGCCCTTGAAGCATTTGAAGTCTAGCAGAAGACAAGAAGAACACCACAGATAATGAGGACACCTGCTTCAGATTCTGATAACATGGAGCAGAACAAGAATATACCACATTAAGAAAGTAATTGGAGAAAAGATAGATAATATTTCATACTCCCAGCAGCCATCACAATTAGCCCCTGAGATCAGCCCTATATTTAAACAAACTTATACACATTCTGGATTTCTGACTAGAATGGCCACAGACTTCACAACAGCCTGGTAGAAAGATCATTGGTCTGCAAGGCAGACACCGGCTCCATCACTAAAACGTTTAAGATCTTGAGCAGGGAATTAGTTTGTGCCTCCATTTTCACACCTGTTAACTGAGAATAGTGACACATAGGGTGTAAAATGAAATGGTCTCAGAATTTGAAGTCAAGAATTGTCCATCCTCCAACTTCACATCTCCTAGGATGGGTATCATCAAAAAACAGAAAATAACAAGTGCTGGTGAGGATGTGGAGAAACTGAAACCCTCATCCACTACTGGTGGGGATGTGAAGTGGTGCAGCCACTGTGGACAACAGTGAACAATGGTTAAACATAGGGTTTCCAAATGACCAAGCAATTTTAGCCTGCATTAGGCCATTCTTGCATTGCTATAAAGAAATACCTGAGACTGGGCAATTTATAAAGAAAAGAGACTTCATTGACTCACAGTTCTGCAGGCTGTACAAGCATGGCACCGGCATCAGCTAGGCTTCTGGAGAGGCCTCAGGGAGCTTTTACTCCTGGTGGAAGGTGAAGTGGGAGCAGGCACATCACATGGTGAGAGCGGGAGTGAGGTTGGGGGGAGGTGTCACACATTTGAATATGTAGTGTATATGCTATTCAGTTGTGAATTGGTGGGACGCATGTAACAGCTTATCAACGTGGAGGCACTGGTACTTGATAGCCTCTTAAGGAAAATTTGCTTCCAAATTTTAAGCTAGAAAGTCACTGGAATAACTTTTACAATACATGGCCTTTTATATTTCTGGTATGTATGTTAAGAACTGTGTACAAATTGAAATGTCTGTATTGATCCTCGGCCAATAAAATCTCAATTATGAAAGAAAAATGTGAATTTACTTCTTCCCATGAATTATCTTCATCTTTTATTTTTTAATTATGCATTTTTTTTCAAAATTATTTTCATAGAATACATTTTCACATTAGAGATTCCCATAGTGTGAACATAACGATTTATTACTTATGGTTTTATATTTGTGGACGGATTGTTTTAGAACAAGTAGAACAAATTTGAGGATTAAGTCTCAGTTTATACTTTGTAATAGTTTGATATATCTACAAGGGGAACCTTGCCCTTAAATGGAACCTCTCTATATTCAGAAGCACTCCAAGCTATTTTTCTTAAGATTTAGAAATTGATAATGTGAGATATCAGCATTTCCTAATTTTAAAATTTCCCTAGTATATGCAACCATCAGTAGGTGGTATCTACTGAATAGAGAAGGAAGTTTTAAAAAATTAAACACTATCTAAGTTTCTGCAAAGTTTTTATTCATGAATTAACAGTATTTCCCTTTGTCCACTACTCCCAGGGCAAATACAGAAGTTTGATTATATATTAATAGTAATAAAGCTGGATTCTCTTTAAGAGATTGATAAATTAAAAGGCTCATATATCATGTTTTGTTATACTATGAGTCTTTTGAGAAGCTGGGAGGCAACCCCATTAACTCACCAGAATACAGAACTCAGTCTCACAACTTCTTAGACAAAATTCCTCTCAAACCTTTTCCTTAAAGATTAAATTCTGAAAATAATCTTGTGATTAAGAGAAGAAGGCTGTCCACCAATGGACTCATCTTCTATTTCTTCCTGATTGTGAGTTGAACGGCATGACAACACAGAGGAAAAGAAGCATACATCAATTCTTCAAAGTATTAAGTCAGAAAGGTCAGAGCTTCCACAGCATGGCAACAGTTTTGCAGATGTCCACATCGTGATGGTTGAAATAGCAAAGCCCAGCAAAGTTTAAAACTGAAATTGCCAAAAGCCCTGCCTTGGCAGCTTTCTGCCAAATGTCCCTATGAACAGAGTAACAACTTGTTCAAAGCCCCAGTGACCATGAAGAGTGAGGGTTGCAGCCAGGGAGTAGTCCATCGCAGAGCAAGGATTCAAATAAGCAGCCAGAAGCCGACCCAGGAGCAAAACACTGACAACCCTTTCACTAGTCCAGTGGAGACATGCAGTCTTGGAACCAGAATGGTGGCTCAGTGACAAGTGAATGTGCTGCACTCCACACCAGTCTGGTGTAGGTCGGTCCTGAAGAAATGCTGAGATATGAGCAGGTCTGAACACTGGGGTTTGCAGCAACAGAGCTCGGCTTCCTTGGGCACTGCAAAGGGCACTCAGCCTCCAGAGAACCGCCATCTTATTCCTGAGGGCTCAAGGACACCCACCAACCCCTGTCTTCACTCTTTCCCTTCCTTCCTTCCTTCCTTCCTTCCTTCCT